AAAAACAAAAACTTGTTGGTTACTGTATTTCTCTCATGTAACGTTAATTTGGTTTTTCAAAGACTTTGTACTAAATTGAAGCACAAGGACATTCATGTTTCAAATAATTCTCTCCATCCGCCTTAATGGCTTACGGACACTCAGCACGCTCATTCCAAAGGAGTGTACGGACCATGATGATCACTTTTTTCTGTAGAGGCGCGACCAAACCGAAATGATTTTCATTTTCCTCCGTCATCTTTTCGCTTGTTTTCAAAAAATCCACCTCAATTAGTCCCCGTAGCATGGAAATACACACACACACGGGAAGCGCTCTTTTTTTTTCCGCGTTTAAAGACAAGAAGGGAGATTACCAACCGCGGAACAAGAGGAGGGGCGCCAGCCGATATAGAAAGTAAAAGCGCGACGGCGCGTTGTTTACAAAACAAGTCGGACCGCGTGTCCAAAAATATATACGACATTGAGACTAGCGAGGGATAAAAAAAAAAAAGGAGGGAAGCAGGTCTAGGTTTTTCCACCTGGTGCGCGCGTGTCAATTACCTGCGAGTGATACGTGCGATGATGTACTTATCCTTTCGAAAGTCTGCGTAAGTCAGACGGTGTCTCGGTTGAAAATCCGAGAAAGGAGGCGAAGGAGGCGAAGGAAAAAGTACAAATGAAACGGCGCGAGAGTCAGTGGATGGGTTTAACGAACCCGAACCTGCGGGGAGACGCCAACGGTACGCTTATGCTTCTTTGCGCGCTGCAAAATGTATTGTTCACAGTTGGGTCACCGTATGTTTTTGATGAAGCTGAAGCTAGCCGACGGACTTAGCCGACGTACTATATGGAGCGCTCTACAAAGTAATAAGAATTTTTAATGAAAAAAACGTCCCATTCGCCTATATTTTATAGAAAGTTGATAACTTTTATTATTAAATAAACAATCAGACGCGAAATATTTGACCAACTATTTTCTGTAACTCATAAGCCAAAAATAGGATTGGCTTGAAAATTGGTACAAATATTCTTACTCAAGTCTACAACAACACCTGATAAATTTTACGTCGGCAGAATCATTATAAACAACACTATTTGATAAATAATCATGCCTGAAAACTTAAAAATCCGTAATTTTATCGAATAATTAACCAGTTTTTGGTTATTCTTGGTACAATGAAGTGAGAGGAATCAAACTGTAGTACAGAGTACGGTGATTCAGGAGACCAAAGTGCAGGGAAAGGCATCGGGTCCTACAGGGGCACTATCACTGTGACTCATTTTTTTTTTAAGATAGTAAGACGATCGAATGTAAAATGAAGTTCATGTAGATAAGAAGATAATTATATTCTTCGCAATAATAATAATGAAAAATAAGACTGCATTGTTGAAAAATAAGTTTTTAATCGAGAGGAAGAAATAGTACGCGGAGGTTATCGTTAACAAAGCCGATAGACTGAAAAAATTAGGCACCAATAGTGATAATGAGTAACGATATTGCGTTGGAAGTACAATGGATTACCATGGCCTCGTGCCATTACCTAATGGTTATTCGTACGCTTTTTCTATCCTTGCGTAAATACGATACCATGTGTTTTTTTTTTTTTTTTGTTTTTTTTTTTTTTTTAAGGATAATGAACATTTTCAATCGCGACTAATGTGTTTGCGCATTTTTTGCTTTCACGAAAGCCGATTTTTTTTTTTTTTTTTTACCCGTACCCGCTCGTAATTATACGTATACGTTATTAATCGAATCAACACTTGAATTTCGGTGTTACGAAACAAAGTGCCACAATGAAAAGGGAACAAACGAAATTTCGACGTCAATGATTCACAAGAGCACGACTCGTACGAGCTTAATTATGAAAGTGTGAATGAGAGAGACGTAAAAATGGCATTATACCCGAACGACGAGCACCACAACACACCCTTCTTCTCTCAGCGCCAAGAGTGTTAAATACGATCATCGTCCAACGCGAAGAGAAAAAAGAGTCTTTAACACGAAAGCACCTTCAAACAGAGGGAATATGTTGAAATTCTAGCCGAGAGAGTATAAGTACAACAACCCGCGTTGAAAAACACAACTGTCGATCGGTGTGTGAGAAGTAAAGTAAAGGAGCCGCGAGAGGAAGGCACGTGTGAAAAGCTCGTCGCGCTTTTGTCTTCGCGCGGGCGTCATTATATATTTTATACTTTCATTGCGAAGAATCGAGTCGTTGCTTCTCCAAGCGGTGGTTTTGCACCGAAGGGAGTCGTTTTAACGAACTGCTCTTGACACCTTTTGGTACCAGCAAGTATAATTGAAAAAAAAAAAAAAAAAAAAAAAAAAGCTCTCCCGTACAAGTAGTCCAAACGCGTGTCCATCATCAAATCACCCACCATAACGATAAAGTAGAAAGAAAAAAAAAGAGGCCGCACGAGAGCGGTATGTTCACATATATTTGTTATATGAACGCTCCAAAATTAAACTCCTCCACTACGTGCATGTTGTTATAACACAGAAGCACTACACACATGGTCGGGAGGGCTTTGGTGAGCGTAAATACGCGTAGTAATGTATAAACACGCGTATATTCGTTGACACTTTGTCAGTGGGTCTTGGTTGGACATGATGTGTATATACATATGTAAATTGGAGCACAAGCCGCGGAGAGCAGCGTTTCTCAACTCTGGGGTGCGAGCGGCGTCGTTGCGGGAAAAAGACGGACAGAGAGAGAGAGAGAGAGAGGAGAGAGACGAAATCGGGTCAGGGCCTCGGGATATCGTCCGAGTTGTATAATAGCCCCGAAAGCCCTATTTCCATCATGTGTGCCGGGCTAAGTGTATACCATATACTGCTCTTGTTGCTTCTTCACGTAGAGCTTTACGAGATCACCTCGCGGTGTGTACTTTACTCGTGGATGGGTAACCGAGTAGTATAAGTATACTCAATCATCATTGTTATTATTTCGTTCGTTAGCTTTTGCGAATACACGAGAATGAGCGACCTTTAACCCTGTGATCCTTTGTCATGGGGTTCATTTGGAGTTTACATTGTTTGATTGATGTTTATGTTTTTTCGGAGGATTGTTTTTTTTTTTTTTTTTTTTTTTGCACACTAAGTACACTTCTAATATCATTCAAGAACAAGTGTGGATGGGGAAATTTTTAAGTCTTAATGTTAGACAGACAAACATTCTGGAGGCCATTTGGTTGTATCGCGTCGAACTATTATTTTCCATGTTTTTATGGCTTTTGTTTGATAATTATTATTTTATTTTAAAATAATAGTTTGGATTAAAGTAGCAGTACGACTTTATTCGCATTAATTAATACTTAAAAAATTTTTTGGTAACGATTTTGGCAAAAAAACGTTCAATGAATTTAAAAAAAGCTTCACTGATTGGTGATGTTTCCCCCTCCCTCCTGCTTGACACGGTACTACCCTCTGAAATCACCTTAAATTTGTTCTAGTGGGTACATTTACGGTAAGCACTTAAGATAACGGTTTCTTTTTTTTTTTTTTTTTTAAATATTTTAATAAATGCACTGAAAAATGCTTTCGTACATTCAACGTGCATTAAATAAGGTTATAAAAAGTTGAATCACTTAACAAAAATGCAAGTGGATGTGCTTACTGAACACCACGTTGGCAAGGCATTGAAAGAAACGGCTTACTTTTTTACAAAGTGGTATTGTATCATTCTCTTTATTACTGTGTTTATATATATATTTCAAACGCGTATTCAATGCAAATGACATTTTTATGTTTCGTACACATGCACTTGGTTAACTGTTTTCTGCTTTTTTTTTTTTTTTTTTTTTTTTTTTTTTTTAATGCAATAATTACACATGCAGAGTATGGAATTCTGATACACCTTTAGATAAATTTTATTCACTGCTTAATATATTCGTCGACATCAAAGATTTATTTGTGTGTTACGACAAAAAAAAATATATGAAATCACGTTTTCACAGCAGTCACGTGTGACAACAAAGTGTTAACCACACGACAAGCGTATACATTTGTTTTGCATACGCACAATAGCATTAAATTCTTCTTTTTTTTTTTCATCGCACCAGAGAACGTAAAAAATATATTTTTGCCGCAATAGTGCACAAGTGTCAGAAGACACATTCAAAAGAATTTTTTTTTTGTTCGCGTATAGAAAGTACACATAGAACGGTAACACAAGACTATGAACTTTTTACCTATGCTCGTAAACCTTAAAAACTTTATTTTTTCCTGAGGCAGAGAAACTATTTTTGATGTATTGCGAATAACAGTAGGAAATAAATCTGACTTGCGTAACGAGCTATCATAGGACTAATGTTCTGATAAAATCAGCCAAAAACGCAAAATCGCCAAAGCAAACAGAAAAAAATTACTATCGCACAGACACGGCAAAAATGAAAGCTGTACGTACACACACTATCACTTTCTAAGCGCAAATGCACGAAAGAAACGTCGATAATCCGCGAAAGCCCACCAACCTCGCCCTTAGATTTTGTAAACCTTCTCTCACTGTGTACTTGCATACATCAATCCAATACTATCAGATTTGTTTCTGAATTCGATAGCAAAGGCGTAGGAAAAAAACAATAGAGAGAAAACCCTCAAGTATTATAAACGTCCAAAGAACTGTCACGTATATACACAGGTGAAAATGGCACTATTTGGGATCATAATAAAAATAGGCAATTTGGAAGGGGATGTAACATCCCTTGGGGGGGGAGGAAATAAAAAAAACTAAACACAAAAAAGGAACTATGGAGTACGCAGTAAGTATAGGGTATTGCGCGGGCGCTAAAATCTGCAAATAACCAGTTTTCCGTGCATATACCTATACAGTATATAGGTACCATCAACTGAGCAAACTGACACTGCACGTTATAAGTATATAATATACACACGACAAAACCCCATAGTGTTTCCAACTATACGTCAAAAAAGAGGATCACACCGTGTACACCCTCGGTAGCATTGTATTTTTTTCTCTTTCGCGTCACACGTACATGACAATGCTATACATTATACTCACTGTTTGGCCGTTGTGTGCGTACGTGCGTGTGCTGTATATGCAACGCAATTATGTTGCGCGGTGCAGAGTTTCTCCACCGTGACGACGTTCCCCCTTTTTATCCTGGTCGCCCCTTCTATGTATCCTTCCTCCCCTCGCCGTCAAGGGTCAAAAATCACCAGAACACACTTTTCGCGAAAACACCACTGCATGTTGTGTCATATTGTACACGTCTACATCCTTCTTGTTTTTTTTTTTTTTTTTTGACGTTCACTCAGCTTCGGGCGATGAGTTTGTGCACCGAAAGTACAGCAACCGTGTCTCCAAAGGGAAGAAGACCGCTGCAGCGAAGGAGGAAAGGGAGGTAAAGGGCTCGCACTTATGTATACACAAACAGTGCCGTCTCGCACGGGCAGAACGACGTATAGTTGTATACCCGTGTGCTCTCTCTCTCTCTAGCTTCGATCGCTGCTCTCTCTCTCTCTTCTCTTTTTTTATCTTTCTCTCTCCTGCAGCTCGCTCGACTCGCGCAACACACCACTGATGCACTGCATGCGCGCGCGCTTATGTATGCACATACGGGACAGGTAAGATATAACGTGCGCGTATATTGCAGCGTATGATATATTATTCACCTTCACCCGTGTAAGTATACCTACGCGTCTTTTCTTTCGCCGGAGCAACGATTTCCACCATGCTTGTCTCGCACTTTTCGATTTTTCTTTATACTTTTCGCGTCAAACAGGGAGGCGAAAGAGCGTACAATCAACAGCAGGTTGCACGTTAGGTATGAGGGTAAACAATAAAAAAAAAAAAAAAAAGTAACAAGTGGTGTCGTCTTCGGCGCACATTTCTCCGTGCGGTAATACAATTACAAGCGGTTTTTTCTCGGGGGCCCCGGCAGATCTCTCACGCACCTTATTACACACCCACACAGTCGATGAACGCACAAATGGCACGTATAGGCACCTCCCTTTTTTTTCTTCGTCCCATTCTCACAGTCCCTCCTCGAGTCGCCGACGTTAATTAAACATTTTTCTTTAATCCCCCAGTTCCTGCTTGCGATTCGCGCATCGTGCGACCCTTTATATGTATATACCCTTTCTTTTGTTTTATTTCGTCCCGCAAGCTAAGCGACGTACACTACTGTATATATACGACGCTATGTTTTTAACATCTCGATCAATGAAGCCACATCTCCGATGAATCAATGAATAGCTAATTTATCCCCTTTGTCTTTCATATGTGCATATGTATACATCTACTTTCTAAATGAGTTACCATATAGATATATACAATACACACACTTATACATAATATAATATATACACTACGGCACGAGGTATCAATTAAACGGCAATTTAATTACAAGATCATCGCGCGTTTGAGATTACGGGGACGAGTTTAATGAAACACATCTCGTACATGTACGTACACCCACACTCACACACACATACGTATATGTACACAGATGATGTGCAGGATTGTAATTCGCGAGTCGGGGATGTTGCGCCATAACTCAGAAGAGCTAGCAGCGGTGTATGCACCGAAGCACTTGCGCTCTTTTCTTTTTCTAACCGCTTGCACGTAAGTATGTGGTATAATAAACCATTAGTATATATCTCGATGGATAAACTAAAGAGGTTTCATTGCAAAACGAAGAGTGTATGGTGTTACGCACACGAAATACGTATACCGTTATAATGGAGAATGTGCGTACGAGTATTGGTGGGGGTGAAGTGAACACGAGAATCTTTTTGGGGAAGCTGGTGTTACGTAACGAATGACAATAACTCCCTATTCGTATGTATACAATTAAAGTCGTTGTTTGTGTCTCTTCGAAATTTTAACGAAAAAGCCGTATACATTTACATCAAAATTAACATCCATGAATTATTTCCACCCTTTGTTTGGCTCGCTCATCTGTACAGGTACATAATATACGCACACCTGGCTTACACTTGATGACGTTATAGTTGGGACCAAACAAAAGACACCTTATACGCTGTGGCATAAAATTCCATAATTTTTTCCCATTACAGCGGTTTGTACGTTACAGGTGTGCGCGAGTACGAGCGTCATCAGAGCCCTTAAAGTGCCATTTCTCTTGAACGGCGCCAATTCCCTCGTTTTATTATAATAGCCTATTAAGTTCAACACACCAGACGTATAATCCAAATACTAGATTTCCCTTAACTCTCCGAGCCGGCTCATAATCCATGGTACAACATAGGCATACCCATACGTATACATGCATCTCTATCTATATAATGTACCGCGGCATATCGATTAAACGTCCCAGGAAAAGGTATAAGAGACTCGCTGCCGCTAGGGTCAAAGCACCGCGGCTATTCCTTTGACTGTGTACGTATATGTGTATGTGTATGTGCAGGAGAGCGTCCATGTTTATGCAATGTCTGCAATGAAGGATTCTCGCGTGCTCGGAGAAGCTAACACTGGATTCACTCCATGCGACTTGGGAAGAAGGAGACAATTCGAATATGCTGATATTTCGTTAATACAATGTTTTTTTTTGACATCTTTGAAAAATACAATTTTATTTTCAAATTTTAATCCTTAGTCAAATAAAATTTGTTGTGCAATGGCAAACAAATGGGCACTTGATACCAAACTCTTTTTCAAGTAACAAAAAATCATTGTTATTTTTAATTACCTGCTTTGGTGTTAATGGTTGTCGAATCGAAATAAATATTTTCAATATCTGGTTATATACATTGATCGTATATTTTATATGCAGACCTGTAGTGGTATTATTCTGCATAAACTCAGCCACTTGTATACGCTGGTAAATTGTCAAACAACAATATATTTATAAGAATGGATGCCTTTTAATTTTCCTGGTGGTCGAAAGATTCAACCATCTTATAGATCGGCGTACCACTTACCTACTCGATGGAACGAAAGTTAATTTGAAAAAATAATTGCCCACGATTCTTTTTAAAGCCAAATGTCTATGGTGGCGCAAAGATGAGTCCCGTTCTTTCTCTTTTTAAATCTACAAAGAAAAATCATCTGCCATTTCGAGGAAAACTGTTTTCAACTGCTGCATTGCACCTTTATCATTTCAAGAAGTTTCTGTACTACAATAACGAAGCTGCTTTTAATGAACAGTTCGTTATTTCGAGGAGTGTGGCACGTACACGAAACCAGGGTTCAACACTGTTTTTCTCGTGGTCGTGAATTCGTAGCGTTGGATCCTTTGGTAACTGTAATGGTTTACGTAAAAGATGATATCAGTTTGTCAGCTTTTTCATGTTATAACGAGCCTACACAAACTCTATACGGACCTTTGGTTTATCATTTTCAAACCAAGTTACAAAAAATATTGCGGACTATGCATGAGCGCAAAATCTCTCGTACTAATTTTCGTTTCGAATCTCTCTGAAAAATGTTTATTGTGTGCCTTTCTATTGTCACTTCTCAGTTTTGATTCATACGTTGGTGAGCTTCAATAATAAATTAATAACGGATGCCCAATGTCTCACATTTTCATAAAAAATGTCCAATACAATG